GCTAGAATGCCCAGGTGCCTTCTATTAAACTAGACCTTAAGTATCCTTTTCACTATTTTTTTGAAAAGTTACTTGTGACAAAGATGCTATTTATGTTAATGTGTGATATAGTCCTTATCTTTTTTGTAAAAATATATATTTTAAAAGATTTATTTATTTATTAGAAAGGCAGAGTTACAGAGAGAAGGAGAGGCAGAGAGGGAGAGAGAGGAGCCTTCCATTTGTTGTTTACTCCCCAATTAGCCGCAACAGCCAGAGCTGTGCCAATCTGAAGCCAGGAGCCAGGAACTTCTTCTGGGTCTGGGTGCAGGGGCCCAAGGACTTGGGCCATAGTAGGGAGCTGGATTGGAAGTGGAGCAGCCAGGACAAGAACCTGCGCCCATCTGGGATGCTGGCACTACAGGCAGCAGCTTTACCTGCTATACCACAGTGCTGGCCCCAGTCCTTCTCATATATATATATATATATATTTCATTTTTCCATGTATTTAGAAAAATGTTAGAGCAATATTCAAATAATTTGATCTTTAAATACAAAATAATCACATGAACACTTAATACACAGGTTTCCTCTGAATACATATTTATTAGATAAATATTAGAGGTTATCACATCATCTAACTACATACAGCTTTGCAAGACTAAACATCACAGTTTTCTGACCAGTTGAGAGTATGAAATGATACATTGTACACACGATGTACAAAGATGATTAGGGTTCAAGTGGGAGTCACTTCAAGCTGCCCTGGTGGGTGTGTGAACGTGTCAATCACCTGTGATCATATCAAAAATTATACAAAGTCTGACTTTGTGGGGAGCAACTCGGACTAGACTGTTACTGGAATTAAGACTTATTCTATGCATCTGCTCTCCCACAATATGGTGCTGAGAAGGGAGTAACAACTTCTAAGCAGCTGCCTCTCGCCAACTTGAGTGATGACCTGCAGGAGCTGATCCTGCTCCTGATTGGAGGAGAGCAGCGTATTCGGCGTGTGGGTAGCAGAGTTGGGATTGGTGGAAGAGGACTATAAAGGAGGAGAGAGACAACATGCACCAGGAACATCTAAAGGGAACACCTGAGCAGCCCCCGAGAGAGCCGGCCGGCAGTGTGCCGCTCCCCCGCGGAAGTGGGGAAAGTGACAGGGGGAACCGCCCTTCCATGGAGGTGGAAGGGTCGGTAGCCAACCCGGGAAGAACCAGCAGCAAACCCGGGAAGGGCCGAGCAGACAAAAGAACAGCACAGGGTCTTGTGTCGTTCCTCCATGAAGAGGGGGAGCGACATGACTTTGGTTACAATTTTCTTCTGAAGACTTGATCAGCCCTTGTCCTGACTGTTGATGAACAACTTAATACTTTATCCCTTTTAGTATTTTTTTTTGTCCTACTTAATACTATTGGTTGAACTCTAATTAACACACAGTTATTCTTAGGTGTTTAAATTTAACTGAAATGTGATCCCTGTTAACTATAAGAATGGGAATAAGAGAGGGAGGAGATGTACAATTTGGGACATGCTCAATCGGACTTGCCCCAAATGGTAAAGTTAGAAACGTGCCAAGGGATTCCAATACAATCCCATCAAGGTGGCATATACCAATGCCATCTCACTAGTCCAAGTGATCAATTTCAGTTCACAATTGATCACACTGATAGGTCTAAGAGTCAAAGGGATCACACAAACAAGCCTAGTGTCTGCTAATACTAACTGATAGAATTAAAAAGGAGAGAACAATCCAACATGGGAAGCGGGATACACAGCAGACTCATAGAATGGCAGACATCCTAAACAGCACTCTGGCCTCAGAATCAGCCCTTAAGGCATTTGGATATGGCTGACGAGCCCATGAGAGTATTTCAGGCATGGAAAGCCAAGACACTTTGTTTTTTTTGTTTTTTTTTTTTTTTTTTTTTTTTTTTCCAAACAAAAAACACTAAATGAAAGATGAAAGATCTCTTTGAGTGAGATCCCAGTGGAAAGAACGGGCCATCAAAGATGGAGGTACCTTTCTCTGAAGGGAGGAGAGAACGTCCACTTTGACTATGACCCTGTTGGAATAAGATCTGAATTGGTGAACTCAAAAGGCCTCCATAGCCTTGGCAACTCATGACTAGAGCCTAGGGTGATTACTGACGCCATAAACAAGAGTGTCAATTTGTTAAGTCAACAAACAGGAGTCACTGTGCACTTACTCCCCATGTAGGATCTCTGTGCTTAATGTGTGTCCAATGTGAATTAATGCTATAACTAATACTCAAACAGTATTTTTCACTTTATGTTTCTGTGTGGGAGCAAACTGTTGAAATCTTTACTTAATGTATGCTAAACTGATCTTCTGTATATAAAGAGAATCAAAAATGAATCTTGATGTGAATGGAAGGGGAGAGGGAGTGGGAAAGGGGAGGGTTGCAGGTGGGAGGGAAGTTATGGGGGGGAAGCCATTGTAATCCATAAACTGTACTTTGGAAATTTATATTTATTAAATAAAAGTTAAAAAAAAACAAAAAAAAACATTTTCTTCTGAAATCCCCATTGCTTTTTGTTATTTCCATGGCACCGTAGAAGTACACAGGTGGCAGGACTACTACACTGAAGCTAAATAGTACATGTAGGTAAAATAAAAACAAAGAACAAAACCCTTTCCACACAGGGTCAAATCATATTACATGAGTGAGACAGACGTGGAGAACTTACAAACACTAACAAACAAGATCTATGTAAGATGGAGTTCCAAGCCTTTTTTTTTTGGTTTCATAAAATAAAAACAATACACAGCTGGTGCCGCGGCTCACTAGGCTAATCCTCTGCCTTGTGGCGCCGGCACACCGGGTTCTAGTCCTGGTCGGGGTGCCGGATTCTGTCCCGGTTGCCCCTCTTCCAGGCCAGCTCTCTGCTGTGGCCCAGGAGTGCAGTGGAGGATGGCCCAAGTGCTTGGGCCCTGCACCCCATGGGAGACCAGGAGAAGTACCTGGCTCCTGCCTTCGGATCAGCGCGGTGTGCCGGCCGCAGCGGCCATTAGAGGGTGAACCAACGGCAAAGGAAGACCCTTCTCTCTGTCTCTCTCTCTCACTGTCCACTCTGCCTGTCAAAAATAAATAAATAAATCTCTTAAGAAAAACAATACATGTTCCGAGAGAAATGAATGCTTCTGTTGACATCTCGTTCTCATTTACATATGTACACACATCCCTTGAATCTTGCTGCTGACGCGTCCCCATCCAGATGGGGCAGGCCCAGGGCCTGGAGCTTGCTGGGGGTTAGGGCTTCCACTAGGGAGCGGGGGCTACAAGTTCTCCAAAAACAAAATAGCTACAGGGAACATGACACACAGACAAAGCTTCAAACAAGAAGATGGGGGTGATTGCCTGCACTCAGTGCTTCCTGCCTTCCTGTGGGCTGGCCAGCTGGCTGAGTGGGGGCTGAAAGGTCCCTGTGGGTCGGCTCTATGCTTGTCAAGGCGAGGTGGCCTGCCGAGGTGAATTAGGGCTCATGTAGCCGTCTGGAAGGGTCGGGGAGATGTCTTCCCAGGCTCAGACCTGCCTCTTTGGCTTGCTCCTGCGGCAGCACCCCCTGCCGCCCCTCCCCTACACCTCCTTTGCACCCTAGCCTGGCTCCAAGGTCATCCTTGGACCCCCTAGGTCATCCTTGCACCCCCTAGGGTGCAAGCCTCGGCCACCACGGTCTGGGGCCAGCTGGAAGCAAGGATCTTGCATGAACTTGTTGGTAGAGGCCTGCTTGGGAGGGGATCCTGGGCCCAGCCTCAGGTGCCAAGCCCAGAGATGGCTTGGACAGGTGCCAGAAGCTCTGGCTTCAGGGAGCGTCTGGACTCTGGGAGCTGAGGCTGGGCGCAGCCAGGTAGGAACCAGCACGGACCCCAAGCAGGCCCTTCAGGGGCCAAGCACACTATGGTGGGAGCGGAAACTCCAAAAGCAGGCATCCGTGAATCTGGGCAGATGGTCCGACTTGGAGTGCGGCCAGCTGCCGGGCCGGAGACCCTGGTGCCATCCTGTCCTCACCCGCCGACAGGAGCTGGTGCTGCAACCTGGTCTGCCAGCCCCCGGCGCAGCCACTCGCTCTGGATGTTCCTAATCTGAACAAATAACCCTGGTTGCTTTTTTTTTTTTTTCCAAAGAGGATTCCGTTTTTGTCGTTAAGTCAAATATATTTATTTTAATGTTAAAGATTCACTTTATTTGAAAGGCAGAGTTATAGAGGAGAGAGCTCTATCCTCTGGTTCACTCCCCAGATGACGAAGCTGGCTGACGCCAGGCGCCCGGAACTTCATCTGGGTCTTCCACGTAGCAGGGGCCATGCATTTGGGCCATCTTCCACTGCTTCCCCGGGGGAAGCATTAGCAGGGAACTGGAGTGGAAATGGAACAGCTGGGACTGAGCCCCAGGTGGTGGCTGAAGCTGTGCTACAAGCTACAGGCCGCCCATATTTTCTCTTCATTCTGACACAACAGACAATGAGATAAGCTGCGGAAACAAGAGCTCTTTGGAGTCCGCAACAACTTTTAAGTGTAAAGGGATCTGAAAACAAGTTTTCAGAACTTAAGGCTCCCATGCAGTCCTTATTTTAAAAACTAACGTGCTTTCCTCTGCTTAGACTGAACTTCTTCCATTTCTGCCTGCCAAGGCCGGCCCCTCCTTCAAAATGTCTAAAACTGGTTTTCCTCCAGGATGGTCCAGGTTTCGCGCCCTCCCTCCAGGGAACGCCAGGCCTCTCCGGGTCACTCGCTCTTCCCAGCCCTGGGTTCACACTGGGCGTTGACTGGGGTTTCTCCAGGCCAGGGCACCCTGCCTAGCTCCAGCTGGGTATAGGCACCATATTCCTCAACTAAGAGCAGCTGAGCGAGCCCAGTTAGGCTCACCTATGGCCCAGGTGGGCCGAGAGCCAGCGACCCGCCCCGCCCGCCAGGATTTCCGGGGGTTCCTGGCCACGCCCTCTCCACGGCCCACGAGGGCGTGGCCTCAGCCCGCGCGGGAAAAGGGGCTGGCGCCGCATGCGCGCGTACAGCCGGCGGCCGCGCGCAGCACGCTCCGTGCCGGGATGGCGGCGGCGGTGGCGGCGGCGAGTGGAAGCGGGGCGCCCGGGGAGGAGGAGGGGCCTGGTGGGGAGGCGGCGACCTCGCAGCCCCAGGTCCCGACCGGTGCGCCCGGGGCTCGACTCTCGAGGCTGCCTTTGGCGCGAGTGAAGGCCTTAGTGAAGGCGGACCCCGACGTGACGCTAGCGGGACAGGAAGCCATCTTCATTCTGGCACGAGCCGCGGTGCGGCGGGAGCGCGAGGGCACGCGCGGGGCGGGGCCTCGGAGTGGTGTCGGGGCCGGGCTCGGCGGCGGCCTGGGCGGGGTCTGGGGGTGTGCGGGTTCCAGGGGGGCTGAGGGAAATGGGTGCTAGTTAAGGTAGCTGTACTGGTGTGTTAACCCACCTGCCTCTTCATGAGCGGCCAACGGCTTTCATTTTGCGTTTCCTGTGTCTGACACCGAACCTGTGGGAGTTGCTAGTGGATGGGTTTACAAGTACGGCAGGAGGGACAGGTCGTTCTGGCCTACTGGGCGTGAGGGTAGGGAAGGAGCTCGTTAACTCCAGGGCAGTCTTGGCTTCCAGAACCTCGGGTCACCTGAGTTCCCCTCCCCCTACATGAACCTCTCCCAGGGTGCCAGACCCATGTAACACTTCGTTGCTTTACAGGAGCTGTTTGTGGAGACCATCGCGAAAGACGCCTACTGCTGTGCTCAACAGGGAAAGAGGAAAACCCTGCAGAGGAGAGATCTGGGTAGAGTGTCACTGTGCAATCCGGGCTCCGCCGGAGAGGGCTTGGCTAGATGTCCCCTGTCGCTGGTAGTGCATCACTGTGGATTGTGCGGTGGCACCGGGGCTCCGCTATGGTGCTTTCCGTGTGGCCTGTTGGCCCCAAGCTTCACGTTGAGAGTCCGTGCTTGGGGGCAGAGTATGGAAGGTTTCTATGCCCTTTCGTAGCTTCTACCTTTATTGTACGGGAGAGTTCCCCCGTGCCCCTCTGTATCTGGGGGTTTGATTGCTGACTCCTTAGTATAGCTGGTAGTTCCTGCACATGTGTAAGCTTTCATAGGCTGCATTCTCTCACTCCCTGCTGCTTTGCCAGACTCTTTGATGATGAGAGCGAACAATACATAACTTTAGCTGTAAACTGTGGTTGTAGGGGGGGGCCGTTCCCCCCTCCCCCCACCGTAGTTGCTTGCTTAGGTTTTTCTTACTCTTACTGAGAGTTAATGTGTAAGAGTTGGTGTTGGAGTAGAAATGGATTTAAGAAGCGCAAGGGATACATTTTGTAAGTGCCTTCCACTGTGTGGATGGTGCTGTTTTGGGGACTGATGTCTCCAGCCCACCAGAGTCTCAGGTATCTCTTTGCCTTGTGTTTCAGATAATGCAATAGAAGCGGTGGATGAATTTGCGTTTCTGGAAGGTGAGTTCTCTATCAGAGGGCGGACTTTTCCATGCTAAGGGTGGGCTGTAAAATGGATACCTGGTTCTTCCTTGTTTGTGTAGGGATAATGTTCTCCTCCTGTTAGAACCCATTGAGATTCAGTTTCCTCATGTGGGGAATATAGCTTCCACCTGCAAGTTGCTAGCCATAAAGAAATGGGAAGGAATATACAGAGCCCATTGATGTTGGAGGAATGCAGAAGTGTGACTCCCACTTTGGTCCACATCCCTAAGTGTAAATATTAGCCCCTCGTCTTAATGTTAGGGATCAGAAATAATTGCCACCATTTAAAAGATCTCCTCTTTTTCCTTGTTCTTTTTCAACAGTGTTTAAATGATTGTTTTTCTGACAGATTCTATCCTTGCTTGTGTCTGGTCTTAGGAATTTTGGATTAACTCATGTACTTAATGTAAGAAAAAGGGCACAGTACAGATGGAATATGAACTCACAGCCAGACTGCATTTATTCAAAGAAAATAAACTTGGAGGTGTTGACCAGCTGCCAGTGTGCACACAGACCCGACCACGTAGCAGAGGGCCCAAACCCCAGGGGCTGGGCTTTTTTATATCTGAGGTGGGCTAGGGGTGAGGGTGGGGGATAGTAGGCAAAGGTGAGCTTCTCTGTACAGGTTTTTCAAGTTTGGCTCACCAGCTTCCAATCCTGGGTAGGATTGTAGCAGGTGGAGTGGGGAACACTAGGGTGTGAGACTGAACCGGTCTCTTGAAAGAAGGCAGGGGTAACAAGAACCTAAAATGGCTGAGGCTTATGTCTATCACTCAATATTGTCATTAAAATGAGAAATATTTGGAATACCTCATTTCAGTTATCTCCTCTCAGCTATTTCTGTTACTTAATTCCTGCTCTTTGAAATATATACCCTGATGGCCGGCGCCGCCGCTCACTAGGCTAATCCTCCACCTGGTGGCGCCGGCACACCGGGTTCTAGTCCCGGTTGGGGCGCCGGATTCTGTCCCGGTTGCCCCTCTTCCAGGCCAGCTCTCTGCTGTGGCCAGGGAGTGCTGTGGAGGATGGCCCAAGTGCTTGGGCCCTGCACCCCATGGGAGACCAGGAGAAGCACCTGGCTCCTGCCTTCGGATCAGCGCGGTGTGCTGGCTGCAATGTGCCAGCCGTGGCGGCCATTGGAGGGTGAACCAACGGCAAAGGAAGACCTTTCTCTCTGTCTCTCTCTCTCACTGTCCACTCTGTCAAAAACAAAACAAAACAAAAATACCCTGATAGAATAGCTTTGTGAAAACCGGGCACCCTCAGTTCGTTCTCACCCTCACCCTACCAGGTGTTCTCATCACCTTCAGGCATCTGATTTACTTTCCTGTGACTGGCTTCAAACTTACATTATTGAGTATTCTCTTCTGGATCTTGTTTAGCTTCTCTTCCTACTGACTCATTTTTCTTATAAAAGATTTTATCAGTTGCCCACCTAAGGACACTAACTTCCTGTAAAATTTCCATTGACCAATGTTTGGAGCTTACGTTACCTGTTTTATTTTTTTAAGGTTTGTTTATTTGAAGGCAGACAGAGAGGTCTTCTATTTGCTGGTTTACTCCCCAGATGGCTGCAGTTGCCAGAGCTGTACCAATCTGAAGCCAGGAGCTTCCTCCAGTCTCCCACGTGGGTGCAGGGGCCCAAGGACTTGGGACATCTCCCATTGTTTTCCCAGGCTGTAGCTGAGAACTGGATGGGAAATGGAGCAACTGGGATTCAAACTGGCACCCATATGGGATGCTGGCACTACAGGTGGCGGCTTTACCTGCTACACCACAGTGCTGGCCCCTACCTGTTCATTTTTAACTACCATTTTTTCAAAGAGATGAGTGATATGTTCAGATTTTTATTTTAAAGATAACATTCTTGCCCTGTGGGTAATAAATTAGAGGCTACCACAAATGCAGTGGAGTGGCCTTAGGCAGTTTGCCACTCAAGCTTCTGTGATGGGCTTGTGCTTACCTTGGGTTTTTAATGAATGGCAGTTTATTGAATGGGTGATATGTACATTTTCATCCTCCAGTCTGATCTTGGTAATTGAATCTTTGTTTTCTGTCCCACATTAGTACATCTGAATTTTGGCCCTCTTAGTCCCTGTGGGTTTGGTCTATATTATTACTTTGTGCCTGGTAAAGTAAATGTTAGATTTGTATGTGCTAAGTAGATCAGCGCCTCCTCTTTTAAAATCAGTATGAATATGAGTATATGGATACTTAAAAATCAAGTAGTTATCTAAGACTCTAATGCAGCTACCGCCCTTTAATCTTTCATTTTTTTTTTTTTTAAGATTTATTTATTTGAAAGGCAGAATTGCAGAGGCTGAGGCAGAGAGAGGTCTTCCATCTGCTGGTTCACTCCCCAAATGGCTGCAGTTGGGTAAATCCGAAGCCAGGTACCAGGAGTTTGTTTTGAGTCTCCCCTTGAGTGTAGGGATGCAAGGACTTGGGCCATCTCCTACTGCTTTCCCAGGCCATAGCAGAGAGCTGGATTGGAAGTGGAGCAGCCAGGACTCAAACCAGTGCCCATATGGGATGCTGGTGCTGCAGGTGGCGGCTTTACCCACTGTGCCATAGAGGCAGCCTCTCATTATTTCTGTATATTTCTAGATACTTAGCCCTTGATTTGTCAGATGATAAATGAGAATTTGGCTAACCTATACAACTCCAGAAATCCACTCTGTCTTTTCTGACTTTTGGGAGTTGGATCATTATTTTTTGTTCTTTGTTACCATTAAATTTTATATAACATTAAATGTTTGTTTTCTTGTTTTGCCAAACTTCCAATATGTTTTTAAGTTTCTAAACTTTTTAAGATTATATATTTGAAAGGCAGAGTTACAGAGAGGCAGAGGTAGAGAGAAAGGTCTTCCATCTGGTGGTTCACTCCCCAAATGGCTGCAACAATCAGAGCTGAGCCGATCTGAAGCCAGGAGCTTCTTTGGGGTCTCCCACATGGGTACAGGGGCCCAAGCACTTGGACCATTTTCCACTGCCTTCCCAGGCCATAGCAGAGAGCTGTATTGGAAGTGGAGCAGCCAGGTCTTGAACCGGTGCCCATATGGGATGCCAGCACTTTAGGTGGTAGCTCCACCTGCTGTGCTACAGTCCAGCCCCTCAGTATGTTTCTTAACTTCACTGTGTGTATATGACTATTCACTATTCATGCACCTGTATATTCCTTCCCCCTTTTCAGCCCTCTTTTAGCTTGGCTTCATATATATATTAGTACATTGTCAAGGCTGATAACCTTTATATCTTATCACAATTAGATCATGCTTTGCCTATAGGTTGGGTGTAGAAGTTGAAAACCAGTACTGTGAACTAGACCCCTTATTCCTTAATCCCGCATTCAGCCTTCTCTGCAGGCAACTGGTGTTTCTTGTGTGTCTGGATATTTTATGCAAATGTTTATATGTGTATGTGTATATGTGTATTTTGTACATCTTTCCTTATAAATATAACACAGGAAAAATGTGAAGTCACTAAATAATAAAATGTACATCCTTGTGTTCATCAGCTATGCCAAAGAGATAGAACATTGTTAGCCCCCAGGAACCCCACATACATTCTTTTTCCCCTTATGTCTCTCCCTGCCTCTGTTTTTTTTTTTTTTGTTTGTTTTTTTAAGATATATTTATTTATGTGAAAGGCAGAATTAGGCAGAGAGAAAGAGGTCTTCCATCTGCTGGTTCACTCCCCATATGGCCACAATAGCTGGAGCTGGGCCAATCCATCACTGACCCCAATGGTTGGTTTGTTATTCATTCATTCATTCTTTTTTAGCTTTTACTATAGAAATGAAATTGAGTTTGTATGTTAATTTTGTACCTAGAGTCTTACTCATCTATTTTTTTGGTCTTTTTTTTTTTTTAAGATATATAAATTTCATGTATTGCCTATATATAGATTCAGGAACATTAGTGTTACTTCCTTATTCTAATGATTTGTGTGTTGATTTATTTGGACTTCTCTAATTTCAGTTCAGCCTTACTGTGGGCAAATAGCTTTTGGAACTACAGTGTGAAAAAGGGGGCTTATTAGACCTCTGCTGTTAGACTGTGGGTTTTGACTCTTACTTTGGCCTGCAAAAATCCCAGAAGAAAGGTAGACAAATGACCTCAGCACAAAACTAGCTTTGGAGCTGGGTTTGCTTTCAGTTGTCTCCTACTCTTGATTTTAGATTAGCCTTTTCTTGATACCTCGTTGATGCCTGAAAGATTTTTCTTCTTTGCATATTTTATTTAGCTTTAGCAGATGGTCTCATCACGATATTGTCGTTATCAAAAACAGAGGCCAGTTTTTTTTTTTTTTTAAATAAGTTAGAGATGCTTTTGTCCTTTTAGCTGAATAACCTGTTTCCTTTTTTTCTTAACAAAATTTGGTCTTGACTGTGTAGGCTTTCTGTAAGTATTTGGTGATTTTCATTCTATTCAATAACAATGAGGAATGAGGAAGCTGTTTGGAAGCTGTGTGTATGTGATGGAGGCTGGTGGTTGCCTGGCAGTTCTATGTTAGGGTGAACGGGGGTAGGATCAGATGTTAAACTGGGTGGCCCCCGGAGCTCAGAATGCTTTACTCTGGGGCACTTGGTGCCTTCAGAAGCTGCTCTCGTCCTCCTCACTTGCACACTTGGTTGTTTAAAAGATAGTCCTGTGACTTTTTTCCAAGTTAGGTTTAAATGCCCATCTTCTGTTAGTGCTGCATGTAGGGAGGGTTGTGGAGAAGTGTTTGTCACACGGAAACATGGGTATTAACTTGTTTTCATCTCCTGTCTCTTTGTGGCATCCCTGGTGACTGATGTAGAGCCTCCTTGGGTCCTTGTGGGTGGATTGGCTCTCTCCTGTGCTGCAGCCCCCTCTGTTCATTCCACACTCGTTTTCCTTCTGCTATATTTGTAAACCTGCTTAAGTAAGATTTCTGTTCCTTAGTTTTTTTTTGTTGTTGTTGTTGAAATTGCTTAGCTGCTTATGGGCCCCTATTTGATAGGAAGGCAAGCAGACTTGTGGGATCAGTTCCCCACGTTCAACGAACTTTCTGAAAAGTTTATAAGCTCTTTGTTTAGTGAACTTCTATCACTCACCCCTTGTATACTCACAGCAAGTAGTTAGTCCTTTCCTACATTTGTATAACTACAGCAAGTAGTTTGTCCTTTCCTCGTATCTAATTCTAATTCTCTAGGCTTTCTCAGCTGTACCCCACCTCTGTAGTGACTTTTTTTTCCCCCAAGGGTTCTTTTAGCTAGATAACCCTCAAAGTTGGTATTGTGGTTTTAGAGAACTGCCAATAACAATGTCCCTACCTTGTTGACTTTGCCTGGTTTGTGACACTTATCCAACTCTTGGGGCACCTTGCTTTACATGTTGCTCATTGTATTTCTAGGTACTTTGGACTGATGGCCGAGCTGGGCAGTTCTGTGAGCCTTCAACTGGGTCCTTCAGGTCGCCCCTCTTCGCAGGCATCATCCTGTTCTACCTTCAGCTAAGCTGGGATAAGCAGAAATCTCATCCAGCTTTTCTCTACACGTCTTCCACTACTTGTGTCTGTCTTCCACTGCAGGCCTGCATGCAGCTGCTGCTGCTTGGGGCAGATGAGCAGGAAGTGTTACACACAAGTGGCTTAATGGGTGGTGAGGACCAGAATAAAGGTCTTTGATCAACTTGAGTCTGGTGTGTTTTGTAGTCTCAGCTTTGTTCTTGCCCCTGTTACTGGAGGGCCGCAATGCCCAGCATCAGCCTTTCTCCTCTTCCATGCCAGCCATTTTTTTTTAACTTTTATTTAATGAATACAAATTTCCAAAGTACGATTTATGGATTACAATGGCTTCCCCCACATACCGTCCCTCCCACCCACTACCCTCCCCTTTCCCACTCCCTCTCCCCTTCCATTCACATCAAGATTCATTTTCGATTATCTTAATATACAGAAGATCAGCTTAGTATACCTTAAGTAAGTATTTCAACAGTTTGCTCCCACACAGAAACATAAAGTGAAAAATAATAGATGATTTTTTTTTAAATGATGATGAAATCAGATCAGACCTATTGTCATGTTTAATCCCAGTGAGAGTCAAGTTGGGAGTTGATAATTTCTTTCTTTTTTTTTTTTTTTTACAGAAGATCAGTTTAGTATAGATTAAGTAAAGATTTCAACAGTTTGCACCCCCATAGAAACACAAAGTGAAATATATTGTTTGAGTACTCGTTATAGCATTAAATCTCAATACACAGCACATTAAGGACAGATCCTACATGAGGAGTAAGTGCACAGTGACTCCTGTTGTTGACTTTACCAATTGACACTCCTGTCTATGGCATCAGTAATCTCCCTATGCAGCAGTCATGAGTTTCCAAGGCTATGGAAGCCCTCTGAGTTCTCCGACTCTTATCTTGTTTAGACAAGGTCATAGTCAAAGTGGAGGTTCTCTCCTCCCTTCAGAGAAAGGTACCTCCTTCTTTGAAGACCTGTTCTTTCCACTGGGATCTCACTCGCAGAGATCTTTTGCCAGAGTGTCTTGGCTTTCCATGCCTGAAATACTCTCATGGGCTTTTCAGCCAGATCCGAATGCCTTTAGGGCTGATTCTGAGGCCAGAGTGCTGTTTAGGACATCTGCCATTCTATGAGTCTGCTGAGTATCTCACTTCCCATGTTGGATCACTCTCCCCTTTATTTATTCCATCGGTTAGTGCTAGCAGGTACTAGACTTGTTTATGTGCTCCCTTTGACTCTTAGTCCTTTCATTATGATCAATTGTGAACTGAAATTGATAACTTGGACTAGTGAGATGGCATTGGTACATGCCACCCTGATGGGATTGAATTGGAATCCCCTGGTATGTTTCTAACTCTACCATTTGGGGCAAGTCAGCTTGAGCATGTCCCAGATTGTACATCTCTTCCCTCTCTTATTCCCACTCTTATGTTTAACAGGGATCACATTTCAGTTAATTTTTAACACTTAAGAATAACTGTGTGATAATTACAGAATTAAACCAGTCATATTAAGTAGAACAGACAAAAAAACTAAGAGGGATAATGTATCAAGTTGTTCATTAACAGGGCTATGCTGATCAAGTCACCGTTTCCCATAGTGTCCATTTCACTTCAGGAGGTTTCCTTTTTGGTGTTCAGTCAGTTGTCACCGATCAGGGAGAACATATGGTATTTGTCCCTTTGGGACTGGCTTATTTCACTCAGCATGATGTGTTCCAGATTCCTCCATTTTGTTGCAAATGACTGGATTTCGTTGTTTCTTACTGTGGTATAGTATGCTAAAGAGTACATATCCCATAATTTCTTTATCCAGTCTACTGTTGATGGGCATTTAGGTCGGTTCCAGGTCTTAGCTATTGTGAATTGTGCTGCAATAAACATTAGGCTGCAGACCACTTTTTTGTTTGCCAATTTAAATTCCTTTGGGTAAATTCCAATGAGTGGGATGGCTGGGTCGAACGGTAGGGTTATCTTCAGGTTTCTGAGGAATCTCCAGACTGACTTCCATAGTGGCTTGACCAGTTTGCATTCCCACCAACAGTGGGTTAGTGTCCCTTTTCCCCCACATCCTTGCCAGCATCTGTTGTTGTTAGATTTGTGTATGTGAGCCTTTCTAACTGGGGTGAGGTGAAACCTCATTGTGGTTTTGATTTGCATTTCTCTGATTGCTAGTAATCTTGAACATTTTTCATGTGCCTGTTGGCCATTTGGATTTCCTCTTTTGAAAAATGTCTATTGAGGTCCTTGGCCCATCTCTTAAGTGGGTTGTTGGTTTTGTTTTTGTGGAGTTTCTTGATCTCTTTGTAGATTCTGGTTATTAACCCTTTATCTGTTGCATAGTTTGCAAATAGTTTTTCCCATTCTGTCTGTTGTCTCTTCACTCTCCTGACTGTCTCTTTTGCAGTACAGAAACTTCTCAATTTGATGCAATCCCAATAGTTGATTTTGGCTTTGACTGCCTGTGCCTCCCGGGTCTTTTCCAGAAATTCTTTGCCTGTGCCAATATCTTGAAGGGTTTCTCCAATGTTCTCTAATAACTTGATGGTGTCAGGTCGTATATTTAGGTCTTTAATCCATGTTGAGTGGATTTTTGTGTAAGGTGTAAGGTAGGGGTCTTGCTTCATGCTTCTGCACGTGGAAATCCAGTTTTCCCAGCACCATTTATTGAATAGACTGTCCTTGCTCCTGGAATTAGTTTTAGATCCTTGATCAAATATAAGTTGGCTGTAGATGTTTGGGTTGATTTCTGGTGTTTCAATTCTGTTCCATTGGTCTATCCATCTGTTTCTGTACCAGTACCATGCTGTTTTGATTACAACTTCCCTGTAGTATGTCCTGAAATCTGGTATTATGATGCCTCCGGCTTTGTTTTTGTTGTACAAGATTGCTTTAGCTATTCGAGGTCTCTTGTGCCTCCATATAAATTTCAGCACCATTTTTTCCAGATCTGAGAAGAAGGTCTTCGGTATCTTGATTGGTATTGCATTGAATTTATAAATTGCTTTTGGGAGAATGGACATTTTGATGATATTGATTCTTCCAATCCATGAGCATGGAAGATTTTTCCATTTCTTGGTATCCTCTTCTATTTCTTTCTTTAAGGTTTTGTAATTTTCATCGTAGAGATCTTTAACGTCCTTGGTTAAGTTTATTCCAAGGTATTTGATTGTTTTTGTAGCTATTGTGAATGGGATTGATCTTAGAAGTTCTTCCTCAGCCATGGCATTGTCTGTGTATACAAAGGCTGTTGATTTTTGTGCATTGATTTTATACCCTGCTACTTTGCCAAACTCTTCTATGAGTTCCAATAGTCTCTTAGTAGAGTTCTTTGGGTCCCCTAAATAAAGAATCATGTCATCTGCAAAGAGGGATAGTTTGAGTTCTTCCTTCTCAATTTGTATCCCTTTAATTTCTTTTTCTTGCCTAATAGCTCTGGCTAGAACCTCCAGAACTATATTGAATAGCAGTGGTGAGAGTGGACATCCCTGTCTGGTCCCAGATCTCAGTGGAAATGCTTCCAACTTTTCCCCATTCAATAGGATGTTGGCTGTGGGTTTTTCATAGATTGCTTTGATTGTATTGAGGAATGTTCCTTCCAAACCCAGTTTGCTTAGAGTTTTCATCATGAACGAGTGTTGTATTTTATCAAATGCTTTCTCGGCATCTATTGAGATAATCATATGGTTTTTCTTCTGCAGTCTGTTAATGTGGTGTATCACATTGATTGTCTTGCGCACATTAAACCATCCCTGCATACCAGGGATAAATCCCACTTGGTCTGGGTGGATGATCTTTCTGATGTGTTGTTGCATTCTATTGGCGAGATTTTTATTGAGGATTTTTGCATCTATGTTCATCAGGGATATTGGTCTGTAATTCTCTTTCAGTGCTGCATCTTTCTCTGGCTTAGGAATTAAGGTGATGCTGGCTTCATAGAAAGAATTTGGGAGGACTCCCTCTTCTTCGATTGTTCTGAATAGTTTGAGAAGAATTGGAGTTAGTTCTTCTTTAAATGTCTGGTAGAATTCAGCAGTGAATCCATCTGGTCCTGGGCTTTTCTTTGTTGGGAGGGCCTTTATTACTGTTTCAATTTCTGTCTCAGTTATGGGTCTGTTTAGGTTTTCGATGTCTTCCTGGTTCAATTTAGGTAGGTTGCATGTGTCCAGGAATCTATCCATTTCTGATAGGTTTCCCTGTTTGCTGGCATACAAGTCCTTGTAGTAATTTCTGATGATTCTTTTTATTTCTGTGGTGTCTGTTGTTACGTTTCCTTTTTCATCTCTGATTTTATTGATTTGGGTCTTTTCTCTTCTTTTTTTAGTTAGTTGGGCCAATGGGGTGTCAATTTTGTTTATTTTTTCAAAAAACCAGCTCCTCGTTTGGCTGATTTTTTGGAATGTTTTTCTTGATTCAATCCTGTTGATTTCTTCTCTGATTTTAATTATTTCTCTTCTCCTACTAGATTTGGGTCTGATTTGCTGTAGGTTTTCTAGATCCTTGAGGTGAATTGAAAGCTTTTCTATTTGGTGTCTTTCCAATTTCTTGATGTAGGCACCTATTGATATAAACTTCCCTCTTAACACTGCTTTTGCTGCGTCCCATAAGTTTTGGTATGTTGTGCTGTTATCCTCATTTACTTCCAGAAAGTTTTTGATTTCTCTTTTGATTTCTTCTATGACCCATTGTTCATTCAGGAGCATGTTGTTCAATCTCCATGTGTTTGCGTATGCTCTAGGGATTCCTGAGTTGTTCATTTCCAACTTCATTCCTTTATGGTCTGAGAAGCTGCATGGTATGATTCTAATTCTTTTGAATTTGCTGAGACTTGCTTTATGGCCTAGTATGTGGTCCATCCTAGAGAAGGTTCCATGTACTGCTGAGAAGAATGTATAATCTTTAGCTGTAGGATTGAAAGTTCTGTATATATCTGTTAGATCCATTTGGGCTATAGTGTCGTTTAAATCTACTGTATCCTTGTTGATCTTGTGTCCTATTGATCTGTCTATTTCTGAGAGTGGAGTATTGAAGTCCCCCAGTACTATTGTATTGGGGTCTAAGTCTCCCTTTAAGTCCGTTAACAAATCTTTTATATAAACTGGTGCCCTGTAGTTAGGTGCATATACATTGATAATTGTTATATCTTCCTGTTGAATTGATCCCTTAATCATTATG